GGGTATGAAAATAAATCAATGGACTGGGCAGTGGTGGCGCACGCCTTTAATCCCAGCACTAGGGAGGCAGAGTCCAGTAGATCTCTGAGTTTGAGGCCAGCCTGGTCTATAGAGCGAGTTCCAGGACAGCCAGGGCTACACAGAGAGACCCTGTCTTGAATAACAAAAAAGAAAAATATATATATGTATATATATATATCAGTGGCCTAGGAGCTCTGCAAATACCTGCACCTGTTTTATATTCACAAGTTCTGACTATTTATGATTTTCTTAATAACTTTGTCTGTGGTCATATGTTTCTTACCAGGCCATAATACTCCCAAAGAATTTATAACTGTAGTTGCCCAGTGCATCTAATGTGGATCCTGTCCTCTTTTTTTTATTATTATTATTATTGGTTTTTTAAACAGGGTCTCTCTGTTACGTAGCTCTAGCTGTCCTGAAACCTGGAATGTAGACTAGGCTGGCTTCAAACTCATAGAGTTGCACCTGCCTCTGCCTTTCAAGTGCTGGAATTAAAGGCGTGCGCCGCCAACCCTCATCCTCATTCTTTAGGTACACCTGGTCTTTCAGATGCCTTTCGTTGTATTACTTTTTAAAACTTTGTATGTATATAGAGTGTATGGGCAAATATGTGTGCGTGCATACATGAGTGTGTCTGTGTGTATGTGTAGGTTGATGTTGAGTCTTCCTTTACTGCCCTGCCCCCTATTTTTTGAGACACAGCGTTTCACTGAACCCAGAGCTCACCAATTGGCTAGACTGGGTGGCCAGTAAGTTCTGGGAATCCATCTGTCTCTTCCCCCCGTCCCAGTGTTAAAATTACAGGCAGGTGCTGGGTGGTGGTGTCCCACGCCTTTAATCCCAGCACTTGGGAGGCAGAGGCAGGCCGATCTTTGTGAGTTTGAGGCCAGCCTGGTCTACAGAGCGAGATCCAGGAAAGGCACAAAGCTACACAGAGAAACCCTGTCTGGAAAAACAAATCAAAACAAACAAACAAATAAAAAAACCTACAGACAGGCCTCCATGCCTACCTTTTTCTTTTTCTTTTTTTTTTTTTTTTAAAACCCAAGACAGGATTTCTCTGTGTAGTCCTGGCTGTCCTGGATCTCCCTCTGGAACTAGGCTCGCCTCGAACTCAGAGATCCACCTGCCTCTGCCTCTCCAGTACTGGGATTAAAGGCGTGTGCCACCACTGCCTGACCCCATGTCCAAGTCTTATGTGAGTGCTAGAGATCTGAACTCAAGTCCTCATATTCATGGGGCGGGCACTTTATCAACTGAGTCATCTCCCCAGCCCTCAGATACTTTTCTAAATCTGAAAAATACTCAGTTTTGCAGCACTTCATCTACATATTGAACCCCTTTTAGTAAAAATAGGCCAAACAACAAAGCAAGGTCCTGGGTCACCATCCCATATCTCTGTACTTTGGTGACCTGTCGTTACTGTTCCTGGGTAGAAGCTTGGTGGAGGTCTCTGAAGGTGTAACGTCCTTCCTAACAGTGAGTGTGAGTTGGTCTTGGCATCCACATGCTAAAGGACCCCTGAAAAGGCATTTAGCAAGGTCAAGTATGATATGGAGAGATCCCATCACTTATATGAACCGCTCTGTCAAAGAGTGACGTGGGGCACAATGGCCACTGCCGCATCCATCTCCCTGTAAGCCACACTCACTCTCCAGGAGCCGTTCCAGTCTTGCCGGTTCACAGCCTCCCTCTGGCTGTTAACAGGGCAAGCTTAATCTGTGTAGCCTTGGCTCTGTAGCCCAGGCTGGCCTTGAACTCACAGAGATCTACCTGGCTCTACCTCCTGAGTGCTGGGATTAAAGGCGTGCGCCACCACCGCCTGGCTATAAGTTTTAAAATGTAAAAATCAAGCAAATATACATATGCTTTTTACTGTTTTGCTTTTAAAAAAGATTTTTAAAAAAAGGTTTATTTATTTATTTATTATGTATACAGCGCTCTGTCTGCATGTATGCCTGCACACCAGAAGGACACCAGATGGTTGTGAGTCACCATGTGGTTGCTGGGAATTGAACTCAGGACCTCTGGAAGAACAGCCAGTGCTCTTAACTGCTGAGCAATCTCTCCAGCCCCCTTAAAAAAAGATCTTAACTAAATGCCCAGGAGATAATTGTATGCATACACCTCCTTAGAAATCATTTTCATGTTTTTGCTTATTTGCCTCTGTCTTCGCACTAAGTCTCGTGTATCCTAGGCTTGCTTTGAACTTGCTATGACATCGAAGCTGGCCATTGACTCCTGATCCTTACATCTCCTTCTTAGTGCTAGAATTACTGACCTGTGACATCATGCCCAGCACGTTCTTGTGTCCCATAAAGTTGCATGCACTCCATGGTTTATTCATTTCGCCGGGGCAAGCGTTTTATTATTTATTTATTTATTTATTTATTTATTTATTTATTTTTACATAAGGTCTCAATGTGTATCATTGACTGGCCTGGAACTCACTATGTAGACAGAACAAGTTGCCCCAGAACCCACAGAAATTTGCCTGCCTCTGCCATCTGAGTCCTGGGATAAAGGCATGTGCCACCACACTCAGCAAGAACAACCATTTTAAAATATGGCCTATTGAGTCTACTTGTTGGATAGTTCACCTCAAGCCAGCCATTTATAATCTTTGGTTTGTTTATCCATCTGTTAAAAAAAAAAGTCTGTCGTGGAAAAAGTGGGACACTGCTAATTAACGTGTGAAACACATCCATTAATACATTTGAATTGCTAATGACAGCGCGTTGTCCAGAGGCCCTCAACTAAAATGCTGGTTGGATGGGGTGGTGGAGCGAGTACCTGCTGGGGGAAACAGTGAAGACACACTATTTCCCAGGGCTTGTGCAGAACCTGTAAACAGGACTGCCCTTCACCTCTCACAGCCTTGGCAGGGAAGATCCTGGGTGCAGGAAGCTTGGAGAGTCAGAGAAGGTGGAAGGTAGAGAGGGTAGCTGAATGTGACAAAGCTGAGTGTACAAAAATGGACTTGGGATAAAGGAAGCTTGTTCCCATTTAGATCACTCTTGCTTCACTCCCCAGGCATGGCGGGCGCGCCGATGGCTTCCTGCTTCAGGATTAGGACTTGAGATTCCCAGGGACCTTGCAGTGTGTAGAGAGACAAAAACCCAAATCACTAGTCTAAGAATCTGGGGGCGGGGCGCGCCGACGGGGGCGGGACAAAGGGCGTGTCTAGTCCAGGAGGGGCGGGGTCCCGGCGGTGGCGCCAAATCGCGAACATGGCGCCGGAGCGGCTGCGGAGCCGCGCTGTCTCAGCTTTCAAGCTTCGCGGCTTGCTGCTCAGAGGGTGAGTCGCGAGGCAGTCTGTCCCGCCGCAGTGCCCCGGGCGTGCAGAGACCCTTAGACTATTCCCTTGTAAGAGGAGAGGTCGGCCTGGCGCATGGGAGGCTGCGGAGCCTCCCCGGGTTTCCGCGACACTCGCGCCGGGTGCAAATGTTACTTCCAGGCTGGGTGGAGCTGCGCCGCCGGGGCCCCACTGAGCCCGGGAAGATGCCAGGTTTGAGGTCCTCAGATCCCCGGAGGCCCCCGCCCCTGCGGGATGCAAATCGTTACAGTGTTACTTCGGGAAGTTACAGAGAGACACGTCAAAAGAGAGAGACCTGGGGAAATCCGTCTGCGTGTCTGGTGGCGATTTATGTTGCAGACTGTGAGCCTCCCGCCCACCCGTCTCCGTTTTGGATTCTCATTATTGCCTGGAGAATTAAAAACCGGATAGATTTTAAACGTGTTTTTTGGTTTTGGGTTTTTTTTTGGGGGGGTAGATTTCCCAGTTTACAATTTGCCCAAAAGTCAGCTTTCCTGGCTATAGTGTGCCATTTTTAGTCCTGTAGAATGAGCATCTCCAAAAGCTCGAGTAATTACGTTATCTTTACATTTTATAATACACGTTTTAAGTACCTGCTGAGCTTGTGTATCGGGTCCCCAAGGGGCCGGGCCAGAATGCCAACACTAGCTATACGTTTTTGAGTCATGCAATTTTTTTGTTTTTATAACCGTGAGCTTTAATGGAACTTTTAACTTTACGTTTTGCATAGTAGTGTCCAAGGGTCAACCTGGGAGAAAGTGATGGATTTAGTTCTTACATTTGAAAAGAGGAGTAATTGATCAATTAACTCTTCTTTCCTTTCACCGAAAATGAACTATTATTAAGCTGTTGGAAGCTCATTGAACGATTCAGTGAGACATACATTCAAATGCTTTAGTTTCAAACACCGTGAATAGAATTAACCACCATGGAGCTACTGTGGGACGATAGTGTGTTAGTTATCTATTGCCGTGTAACAGATTACCTTATGGTTTAGAGACTAAAACTGCACTCACGTTTTAGCCTACATTTTCTGTGGGCCAGGAATCCAGATGAGACTAGAGTTCCGGTTTCCACTTTGGGTCTCATACATTCTGGTCAACATGGGTTCATCTCAGATGTCCAGGCTATCCAATTCATTTAGATTTTTTTTTTAAAAGGTATTTTAGCATGATCTGCTAAATCTGCAGGGATTCGTTGTTATTTTAATTGTTTGCTTATTTTTGAATTAGCTGTTTCAAGCCTTGATCCTTCAGGCTTTAGAGGGAGAGCTGAGGTTTTAGTTACGTTGGCTTTTTATAAAGCTTGAGTTTTATAAGGTTTAAATAACAGTTTGTTAAGACCACTCCCACTAAATAAAACAGTGTTATTAGGCAGTGGTGGTGCATGCCTATAATCCCAGCACTTGGGAGTCAGAGGTAGGTAGACCTCTGTGAGTTCAAGACCAGCCTGGTCTACAGAGTGATTTCCAGAACAGCCAAGGCTACACAAAGAAACAAAACAAAACCAAAAAACAAAACAACAAAACCAGTTTTTTAGCCAGGGTAGAAGGATGGTTTTGTTCAGAAACTATAGACAAAATGAGAACCCCTAAAAGGGAGGAATGAACAGGCAGTTTCTGAACGTTGGGGAATTCTTGGCCTCTTCTTTCTCTCACTAGTGAAGCCACCAAGTTTCTCACTGAAGCTCTTCAGTCTGTCACTGAATTAGAGCTTGAAGAGACCCTAGAAAAGATCATCGATGCAGTTGAAAAGCAGCCCTGTAAGTAACATTTGCTGATGATTTCTAGATTGCTATAGCTTTGTGTCCTCAGATTTCAATTAAAATGGAAAGTGAGGCTCCATTCACTAAGATATTCCAGAGTTCTGAGGTATACACATCATAGTATCTTTTCCCAAAGGGTTAGTTCAGTTGTGACCTGAGGATATTCTATTCCTTAAGGGCCCTTTTGTAGTTTCTAATCCCCTTGGGGAGGTGGAATTACCATAGCCTCTTTTTTGTGTTTAACAAAATAAGAATTTGATCTTGTCCTTTAAAGAATTACATCATTATTATTATTATTACTTTGCATGTGTGCATGGGCACCTATGCCACAGTACGTATGTGGAGGTCGGAGGGCAACTTTGGAGTGGGTTCTGTCCTACCATGTGGATCTCATGTCATCAGAGTTCTGTGGCAAGTGTCTTTATCTACTGAATCACGTCACTGATCTGATCCTTAATGGTCACTTATTTCTCTCAGCACACCTGTGACTGTGTCTTATTAAGTTAGATACTCCTAAATGTTTGGGGGGAAAAAGAGAAAAGTGAGAAGGCCTAACTTTCCTGGTCTGTTGGGTTAAATACTTCAATGGCTACCAGAGACACCAGCCGAAAAAGGAGAGATGCTCCAAGGTTTCCACTGCCCACAGGTTAGGAATTTTCCCCCTCTTATCTCTTTCTACTTAATACAGGAGAGAATTTGTTCTCTCTTCGCCTCTAAAGGCAGGATTTTAAACACACTCTATGTCTTAGTTAAGGTTTCTGTTGCTGTGAAGAGACACCATGTCCACAGCAACTCTTATGAGGAAAACATTTAATTGAGGGGGCTTTCTTACAGTTTCAGAGGTTCAGTCCATTGTCATCATGGTGGGGAGAATGGCAGCATGCAGGCAGATGTGGTGCTGGAGGAATAGCTGAGAGTCCTACATCTTTCAGGCAACAGGAAGTCAACTGACTCACTGGGTGGTATCCTGAGCATAGGAAACCTCAAAGCCTGCCCCCACGGTGACATACTTCCTCCAACAAGGCTGTACCCACTCCAACAAAGCCACACCTCCTAATCATATATTAATATCTAATGGCATATGGTATTTTGCCTGAAAACAGAGTGATCAAGGATACTCACTTTCTGATCAGGCCTAAGTTTGTGTTGCTTTCTAAACTGGTTTAGCTATGTTCTTGGGCTGATATTCAAAGTTGCTCTACCATCAATAAGAAATGGGTATATTGAGGGTTGGTGTGTGTGTGTGTGTGTGTGTGTGTGTGTGTGTGTGTGTGTGTGTGTGAGCTCTGATTACTGCTGTGTGCTACTATAGCCAGGGTCTCTGATTCCCTATGTGGCCCAGAATAGCCTTGAACTCCTGCTCTTCTTGCTTCCGATTCCCAAGTGCTAGGCTTCTAGGTGGGTGCTGCCTTCCCTGAGTCTCCATCCCTGTTTGAAATTTGGACTTTGAACTTCCTTTCTCAGTGTCATCAAACATGATTGAACGATCCGTAGTGGAAACAGCGGTCCAGGAGTGCAGCCAGTCGGTGGATGAGACCATGTATGTGGGTAAAACTACATTTTCCTGTGGGACGGTTACTCAGTGCTTCTTTTCATGGGAAAATAATTAGTGGTCAATAGCTCTACAGTAGAAGCGGCCCTTATTTGTTTCATCTGAAATGATGGCCTACATTATAAATTTTATTACTAAATAATTTGTCTTTACTATTTTTTCCTAGTGAGAGTATAGTATTTGTTTATTACTGACTTGGTGTGTTCCCAGTCTATTTAATAGTCTGTGTGCTGTGAATGAATTAAATTGAACATCAAAAAGTGTAATTTACTGTTTGGTGGTTTGTTTAAGACAGGTCTCACTATATAGCCTAGGTTCTACCTTCCTAGTGCAGGGGTTATGGGGGGGGCACTATCACACCTGTGACCTTCGTATCTCTTGAAAGTAGAATGTACAAGCTAAAAACTTTATCCTCTTATTTGTAACACTATAAAAAAAATTGGTACATGGCTTGAAGAAAATGTGCAAAAGGTTATATGCAAAAGATTATAATGTGAATTATTAGTGTTGATCTATAATACTTGCATTTTAGTAAGTTGGATCTGTGTTTTATGGGTTGTTTTTCAGAGAGCATATTTTCAATATCATTGGCGCTTTTGATATTCCACATTTTTTGTACAATTCGGAAAGAAAAAAATTTCTTCCGTAAGTATACCATGTATCATTTATTGATTTAAATTTTTTAAAGATTTATTTATTTTACATGTATGAGTGTTTTGCCTGAATGTATGAGTGTGTACCATATGTGTGCCTGGTATCTGTGGAGTTCAGAAGAGGGTGCTGGAACTTCTGAAGCTGGAGCTACAGGCAGTTTTTAGCTCCCATGTGGGTACTGGGAATTGAACTTAGGACCTCAAGAGCAACAAGTGCTCTTATCCACTGGGCCATCTTTCTGTTTATTGATTAATTTCAGTTGTATATTTTTTCCACAAAGTATATAGTTTTATGTTTGACTTTTGGTCGTCGACCTTTGTGTTAATAGTGTGTGTGTGTGTGTGTGTGTGTGTGTGTGTGTGTGTGTGTGTGTGTGTTGTATATGTAAACATATATGTATGTATTTTCAATGACATCCCTTTTTTTTCTAGTCTATCAATGACTAATCATGCTGCACCAACCTTATTTGGAACAGCAAGAGATAAAGCCGAGCTGTATCGTGAACGATATACTATTTTACACCAGGTAAGTTGGGAGTGGGAGAACACCAATAAAGTGGGGAGAAAAAAGAGCTTGGGGAAATCTCAGGGATACTTAAAGGATTCAGTTTTGTAGATTAAAGTTGGTTATTCAAGGCTGGGTTTGGTGGCTTATGTTCATAATTCCAGTACTTGAGATTGCAGAGGCAGGAGGATTACTGCAAGTTTGAGGCCAGCCTGGTGTAAACAGTGATTTCCAGACCACTGGGGCTTTATAATAGGACCTTGTCCCAAAAAAAAAAAAAAGGTCATTCTGTAGACTGTGGATGGGCTCTCTGATTGATACCCTATTGAGAACACAGAGATATGAAGTACATTTCCCTTTAATAATGATATTAAAGAGAGTGGCCAGCACTTAATACCTGATACTGAGATCTCAAGTATTGTGTAGTACTTTGCATGCATTATTTACCTCATTCGGTCCACTAACAGGAGTAGATTCATGAATGCTGGCATCATTCCTGTTTTACAGATGAGGAAGCTGAAGGCTGGAGAGGTTTCATAACTTTGCCAAAGGTCACGTGTAGAGAGTTGGGGTAGGATTCAGACCTAGCCTGTCTAATTTGTCCAAAGCCTGCTCTATTCCCTTCAAGGAAAGTAGAACTTTATTATGTGCTATAAAAGATGCATAGTGTCTTCAGTAGAACCAAGGAGGGCTTCAGGGACACTGGCGTTCCACATGGTCCCTGTGGACACGCATGGTAACACTGAGCAAGGACCGAGCAAGGGAAAATGGACTTTGTACAGGAAATGGTGAGCAAGGGGGGGGGGGGTAATGTGGAAGTGAGTTGCCTGCAATCCCAGCTACATGGGAGGCTGAAGCAGGAGGATTACAAGTTCAAAGTCTACGTAAACTACAGAGTGAGTTCAGCAGTAGCCTGGGCAACTTAACAGCCCCTGTGTCAAAAGACAAAGCAAGAAAGCCTGTGGATACAGCTCAGTGGTGCAGGGCTTGCCTCGTGTGTATGAGACCCTAGGATCAATGCCCAGTACCACGAAAAAGATGAGCAGGGTTTTGAACCTCAGAGTGCAACGGGACACTGCTAATCCGTTAACACAAGGAAGGTTTATTGTGGGGCTTATGTCAGATTCTGTTTCAAGCATCGGAGTTAGGGTTGTCAGGAGGAGGAGATACATAAATGCAGATGAGGTACGCGGGGCAAGGGCTGGGTTGCTGAGAAGGACTTAGGAGGCATCTGCAGTGAGTGAAGCCCTGGGGTGTGAGGAGAAGGCCTGAGAGAAAGGAGGGCTGAAGAAGAAAGACCGGAGGTCAGGGTCGGGGCGGGCTGGGATGGTCCCGGGTGGCTAGAGCACAGGGTTGGGGGTGGAGCTGTGGCAGACATAGCAGGTGTTAGAATGGGGTGGAAGAGGTGAGGTCTGAGGATACCTGTCCTCAGTGGCTTCCCTCACGCTCCTCACCCTGAGCTGCAGCTCTGACCCCGTCATGGCTTTGCGTGGAAGTCTCTTGAGAACAGCTGCTGCCGCTCCTGAGGGCTGAGATCATCCGTCCCAAGCTGTTGGCTTTCATTTCCGCCACTTTGCCTAAGCTGGGCTGTGCTTCCCGCTTCTGAAACCCGCTGTGAATTTCCCAGTTTTGGAAGGGCCCTCTCAGATCCCGCCATGCTGAAGCGGCTCTTCTTTCTTAATTATTTTATGAAATACTGGGTTTCATGTGACATGTGCTTCGATCATATTTGTCCCCATCCGTCTCTCTTGTCCTCCCCTTCATGGTCCCTTGTCGACTTTCATGTCTTTTTTCTGGTCTAGATTCTGCATGTGAGTAAACACTGTTGTTTACTCGGCCTGTTTGATCTGGCTTCTTTTGCATAGGATGGTCTCCAGCTCTGTCCACTCTCCTGAAAATGAATTTCTTCTTTGTAGCTGAATAATATTCCATTGTGTGTGTATATGCTGACGTGGCTTCCTTCCAGTGTATGCCGGGAGTCACGCGGCATGATCATCTGAGTGTGTGTGTGAGAGTGTATGTGTGAGTGTGTGTGTATGTATGTGTGTGTGAGTATGTGTGAGTATGTATGTATGTGTGTGTGAGTGTGTGAGTGTGTGTGTATGTATGTGTGTGTGTATGTATGTGTGAATGTGTGAGTGTGTGTGTATGTGTGTGTGTGTGTGTGTGTATGTGTGTGTATGTGTGTGTGAGTGTGTGTGTGTCTGTGTGTGTGTGTGGCAAACCCAGCATGCACCAAGCGCAGCCTGCTTTCACACTGAGCCCCAGCCCCAGCCTGTGCTGGTTTATTTTCATCAAGCTTCCACACTGGTTTCCACCGTTGCTGGGTTGATTGACACTCCCGCCCTCGATGAATGAGGGTTGTGTCCACGCATCCCCTCCTCCCATCTGGCATTATCACTAAAATTGGTTGTTTTCTTCTTTAAAAGATTTTTATGTGTGTGTGTGTGTCTCTGTGGGTGTCTGCCACATGTATGCACGTACTCTCAGAGGCCAGGATTGGATCCCCTGGAGCAGGTGTTAGAGGAAGTTGTGAGCCACCTGTGTGAGTGCTGGGACCCGAACTCAGGTCCTCTGGAAGAGCAGGAAGCACTCTGAACCGTGAGGTCATCTCTCCCCCCTGTTGTTTTCTTGACAGCCAGTCCGTCTGGGGTGAGATACAACCTCAGTATAGTTTTTATTTACATTTCTTCTTTGGAAATTTTATTTCTTGCTATATGTGTGTATATGACGTTTGGGGGAGCACATGTGTCATGGCCCTTTTGTGGCAGCCATAGACAACTCTTTGGAGTGGCTTCTCCCTCCCACCTTTCCATGGGTTCTGGGGATTGAACTCAGGCTGTCAGGCTCGAGCTGAAGGTGCCTCTGCCCACCTAGCCATCTTGCCAGCTCTTGACTTGCATCACTTGTATAGTTTAGAATGTTGGTTTTCATATATATATTCCTCCTCGCCCCCCCCAAAAAAAAGATGAGCAAGGTTTTGAACTCAAAATGTATTTTTTGTTTGTATGTTTCTCTCTCTCTCTCTCTCTCTCTCTCTCTCTCTCTCTCTCTCTCTCTCTCTCTGCATGTGTATGTGTGTGTGTAGTGTGTGTGTGTGCATGTGTGGAGACCAGAGATCAGATAGCCTTATCTATTGTTCTCCACCTGACTTTTTTTTAGACAGTGACTCACTGAACCCAACACTCATGAACTGACTAGACTGGCTGTCCGGGGACCCCCCTATGTCCCCCACTCAGCTCTGGGGTTACAGACGTACACTGTCACACCCACTTTTTAAGTGAATGCTGAGGATGTACACTCAGGTCCTCGGGATTGCCCCTGCAGTCGCCTCCATGACTGAGCCACCTCCACAGCCCCTGTGGATGCATCAAGCCAATTCCCCCTCCACAGCTCAGGCTGACCTGGAACTCACTGTATGCTCAGACTTCCTCACACTTTGCATCCTCCTGCTTCAGCTTGCCAAGTGCTGAGATGACAGGCAGGCATGAGCCGTACTGGTCATTTGTGTCTCTTCTTTTCAAAAGTATTTGTTCAATTCATTTGTCCATTTATTGACTGACTTATTTGTTCTTTTTGAGCTCCTTCTGTATTCTGTTATCAATCCCTTGTCAAATAAATAGATGGCAAATATTTTCTCCTGTTCTGTAGACTGTCTCTTCATTTTGGTAATTATTTCCTTTGCTGTCTCAAAGCTGTGTGTGTGTGTATGTGTGTGTGTGTGTGTTGTATACATGTGTGGACATGTGTAGGGTGTGTACCCATGCACTTAAGTACAGAACCCAGTGGGAACACTCAGTGTCCTCCTCTGTCACTCTGTCTTATTCTCTGTCCAGTGTCTCTCACTGAACCTGGAGCTTGCTGCTTATCAGCTGGGGTGGCCAGCATGTCGCAGTGGTCTCCCTGACTCCATTCTCCTCACTTCCCCAGCGTTGGGGTTCGAGGTGTGCACAGCCACACCGAGCTTTTCAGGTGGGCGCTGGGGATCTGAACTCGGGTCCCCTTGCTTCTGCAGCTGCGTGCTCATTGGGCCATCTCCCAAGGCCCTGCCAAAGCCTTTTATTTTGATGCAGTCCCATTTCTTATATCTGGTTATTGTAACCTGAGCTATTAGTGTCCTATTCAGAAAGTTGTTGCCTCTGTCTATGTCTAGAAGTGTTTTTTTCTGTTTCCCCGTAGTAATTTCAAAGGCTTGGTTCTTAAATCAAAGTCTTTGGTCCACTGTGAACTGACTTCTGTACGGGATGAGAGAGATGAGTCGGTTTCATCCTCTGTGTGGATACCCGGTTTTCCAGCACCATTTGTCAGAGAGGCTTTGTTTCTCCAAGGTCTATTTCTGGCACCTTTTGGAAATTTGGTGGTTCTGTTGCATTGATTGGCATGTCTGTTTTTGACCCAGTGCCATGCAGGCTTTGTTGCTATAGCTCTGAGGCACAGCTTGAACCCGGTTGCTGTGACATCCTCGTTGTTGTTCTTGCTCAGGATTGCTTTTGCTATCCAGAGTTTTTGTGCTTTTGTAACACTCATAGGTTTTATTTATTTTTTTTTTCTGTTTCTGTGCAGAATGCTATTGGAATTTTGATGGGGATTATATTGAATCTATAGGTTGTTTTTGGTAACATAGCCATTTTCACAATACTAATTCTGCCGGTGCATGAACATGAAACGTCTTGCCATTTGCAGCCTTTCTCGATCTCCGGTTGGATGTGGTTTGTTCCTTATTCAAGCCCGTTGAGCTGTGTGTCTTCTGTGTAACTTACTCCGTGGGCCTTGCCTTGCGTTCATCCTGCCCCACCCTCTTTCCATACCACAGGTGCCTTGTTTTTTGTTTTCTCTTAACGCTGCGACATTTGTCATAGTGCTTTTTACTAATATATTAACAACTGTCACCTTTCTCTCTCTCTCTCTCTCTCTCTCTCTCTCTCTCTCTCTCTCTCTCTCTCGTTTGTATGTCTGAGATACGCTTTTGTGGTGTAAGGAAGGTTGGCCTGAGGTTCGCTCACCTCACACTAACTCCGGACCTTCCTGCCTCGGTGTCCTGGGTGTTGATATCAGAGGCATGTACAACCATCCCCAGACCCTCCTCGTCTGTCTCAGTCTGCAGCACTGTCACTTGGCCCTGCCATTCACATGCCTCGATTGTGAGACAGAGGAGGTGAATGGAGTCCATTCACATTTTCATTGTGTTTACTTTCCTGGAAATACGTTTGATTTTGTCATTTTTCTGCTTCGGGATATTTTCCAGAGAGGGTCTCAGGCTAGCCCCAAACTCACTCTGTAGGGTGACCTTGAACTTTTGAGCCTCCTGCTTCTGCCTCAAGAGATCCAGGCATGTCCCACTGGGGCCAACTTCTCTGTGGTGCCGGGGAAGGAACCCAGAGCTGTGTGGGTGCTAAGCAAGCACTGTACCACATCCTCAACTCTTCCGTAAGCTGTCTAAAGATTGTGAGAAACTCATGGTGACTAAAACCAAAGAACGGCTGTGTTAGTGTGGCCTATATGACCAGGAAGGCTAGAGGTCTGTGGTTTCAAGCCTGGCTGGATCCAGGTGCTCATCCACCATCACGAGGCACCTGTCTTTTTTGTATCTCAGCTTTTTCTTTTCTTTTCTTTTTTAAAATTATCCTTTTATTAGACCCTGCCACCACCTGTGCTGGGGACAAAAGATGGGTGCCATCTTGGCCCTGATGTGTTGGCCAGGTTTAGGTCCTAGTACATCCTTTTTGGGAAAAAAAAAAAAGAAAAGATTATTCTTTCAAATAAATTCTCCTTATGGAATAACAAAAATGGCCACCAGTGGCCATAGCAACTGTCAGAAAGAGCCCTCCTTTCCTGTAGTCCTGCAGAAGTCTTCACTGTGTCTCTTATCGGCCCAGCTTAATACACTTGCTCATCCTTTCTTCGGTCCACGTCTCAGCTTTCATCTTTTAGGCCTGGGCTGTCTGTCTTCAGAAGGGGAAAGGGGCAGCAGCCTGCCCAAAGTGCATGAACTGATGGGAGCAGAGAGGCAGTTCCCTAAGTAATTGCTGTTCCTCATCTCACAGTCCACCTTGTGCACACTCACACTGAGCTCTGTATCGGGTGGTAGTTAGTTCTGACAAGACTGGGTCCTTTCCTGGTGACTTGACTGTAGACTGGTGGTGAATTTTGAGTGTAAGCCTGACTGGATCAAGAAATGCTTACGAATGCCATCGGGTGTGTTTGTGAGGGCAGTTGAGGGTGGGATGGGGTAAGGGATTTATCCTCTACTCCAGTGTGGGCAGCACCACCCACTGGACTAAATACAGGCTGAGCAGCGGAGCCTGGTACTTCCCCTCACCTCTTCATGGTCAGTATGGACCGCGGTTCTCATCGAGGTTCTCACCCGTGGTTCTCAACCATGGTTCTCAACCGTGGTTCTCAACCATGGTTCTCACCCGTGGTTCTCACCCGTGGTTCTCAACCGAGGTTCTCACCCGTGGTTCTCACCCGTGGTTCTCAACCGAGGTTCTCAACCGTGGTTCTCAACCGTGGTTCTCAACCGAGGTTCTCACCCGTGGTTCTCAACCGTGGTTCTCAACCGAGGTTCTCAACCGTGGTTCTCAACCGAGGTTCTCAACCGTGGCTCTCAACCGTGGTTCTCAACCGAGGTTCTCACCCGTGGTTCTCAACTGAGGTTCTCAACCGAGGTTCTCAACTGAGGTTCTCACCCGTGGTTCTCAACTGAGGTTCTCAACCGAGGTTCTCACCCGTGGTTCTCAACCGAGGTTCTCAACCGAGGTTCTCACCCGTGGCTCTCACCCGTGGTTCTCACCCGTGGTTCTCAACTGAGGTTCTCACCCGTGGTTCTCAACCGAGGTTCTCACCCGTGGTTCTCAACCGTGGTTCTCACCCGTGGTTCTCAACCGTGAGCCGAGTAAAGAAAGCCCTTCCTCTCTTAAGCTTCTTTTTGTCAGACATTGGGTTGCGGCAGTGGATGAGAGGATTAACTAATGCAGAGCTTCCCACAGCCTTCTTCCTTTGGATATCCCAATTTCTC